AAGAAGAAGAAGAAGAAGAAGAAGAAGAAGAAGAAGAAGAAGAAGAAGAAGAAGAAGAAGAAGAAGAAAGAAACATCCAAATGTACTTTTTAGAGACAGGGTTTCTCTGTGTAGCCTTGGCTGTCCTGTACTCACTTTGTAGACCAGGCTGGCCTCTAACTCACAGAGATCCACTTACCTCTGTCCAGATGCACTTTAAAATATTGTTAATAATACTGATATTTTATTATGATAGTTACTGGCTCTATATATTAAATTTATCAATTAATTTACGGATGTAACACATTATTCATTAAAAAGATAACATGTATATTTCTGGACCTGAGGAGGATTAAGGCAGATGGCTTTGGATGGGGGCTGGGAGATGGATAGTGAGGATATTGAGACAATGTAAGGAAAATATCTGCCCAGCCCAAGGTAAATATGGCAATTAGAAATCTAACAGGTATCTGTGTCTCACTATTTGTGACAACGGGTTACATAATTTTAGGGCTAATAATAAACATTATATAGCCCAACACTTTATATATAAATTATTTTATAACAACAAATGGTGCCTATTTTACTATAACATGGACCCCTTACATAATTATTATCTCTCAAGAATATAACTGTAAGTTCAAGATATTAGATAAAAATCACTCAGTTATGAAAATATTTTGAAAAGCCTTTGAAATCACTTTCTATGTTTGTCAGCATGTAGCATTTTTTGATCTTTAAGAAAATTCTTCAATATATACTAATCTTCATTTAAGTGTTTATTAATTACTTCTGGGGCTTCTGGTATTTTTTTTTAAGAGCAGAGTATACAAATATTAGAAAGAAAAGATTTTTAAAAGCTGGGAAATAGGGCCTTAGAGATCAAAGATTTTGAGAGCCAGTGTATGGAATATATTTATTTGGGGAAAGGGAAGCAGAAGAGAGTTAGGGTCTGAGGGAGCCATGAGGGCAGAGAGAGAGAGAGAGAGAGAGAGAGGTACAGAGATGGGGGGAAGCCCCAACAGAGAAAGGGAAGAGAGACTGAAACAGCAAGGAGCAAGAGAGAACAGCTTCTGGTACTTTTCTCATTTGAACTTGCATTAATAGATGTCAAGTCTTATGGGAAGTTTTGATTAATAGCTTTCTTTTGGGATTCATCACAGTGTTTCAGAGAATGTCCATTTTATCAAAACCAGGCTCAGTCATATAATTTTTTTTTTTTTTTAAATTCTGGTGGTCAAACACAGGGACTTGTACATGCAAGTGTTTTGCCAACTGACTACATCTACAGCTCAAGTGCTGTAGTTTTATACTGATATGCTAGCTAACATTTTATTCCTTGTGATTGCATGCTCACTTACAAGAATGCTGATAGTCACCCGTGCAGTAATACAGAGGTGGAATCTAGAGACTGTGTGGAATTGACAGCCATGTCAGTTGGTGACTAAATGGCAAAGGTGCAAGGTCAAAGCCAATAAGCCAGTGAGGTTTTAAAGAAAGAATGATACACATGCTTAGAGAAAAATGAAAGATATAAACTGAAATGTTAGGAAGTAGGGGGAACTCACCATAAATGCTGCGATGTATAATTGCTGTTGTTAGAAACACAGAATTAAGACTGATGTGAACCTGGTTATAAGAAGGTATACCCGTGTGATGAGTACATGGAGAATATATTCATGAGGGTGTCACAAAAGGAGTAGATACAAATTGCCTTTGGTATGACCTCCTGTTTCATAGGCTCAGTTCTTGCTGACCCTGTTTTAAGTACATGGTCTGAGAGCTGTATGAGAGATGAAGGACCCTCTGCCCTGTCTCCTATGGCTCCTTCTAGCGGCTACAGAGGGGCTGAGTATGAGAGTTGATAGCCAGGAAAGGGACTCTCTGAGAGCCTCTTGGAATCTTTATGATCAAGCTCTTCAGGTGGAAAGGAAGAATTTGGTCCTGTGCCACTCACCTCGATCTGATGAACCAGGCCAGGAAAACCACCACAAACCCTACACCAACCAGGAGGACCGATGTGGAGATGGCCACTGAAACAGAACAGAGCTAAGCTAGAACCCCTTGAAAGTCCAATAAAGGCATTCATTGCCAAGAACTAGTAAATTATGGGTAATTTTTATTCTTGCCTAGGACAGATGCTAGAAAATAGCCAACCTGCCATGATTAACATTTCTTTGGGTTAAAGAGAAGCTCAGCAATTTAGAGCACATATTGCTTTTTCAGAAGACTCAAGTTTGGTTCCTATTACTCACACTGGGCAGCTCACAATCCCAGCTTCAGGGGATCTTATTACCATCTGCTGGCTTCTGTGGGCATCCGTGTTCACACTCATATATTCCTCTCCCCACCAAAATAATTTAAAACAATAAAAAAAATCTAAGAATTAGAAACAGAAAAGGAAAGCTAGCTGAAAATACACTTAAAGTAATTTCCAACAAGTCACAACTGTATGCACAGAAAACTCTTGAGTCTAGTGGGTGTTGGGTAAAAAGTTTGAAGTCATGACGAGGCTGTAGGTAATCTTTACTTTCACTAAAAGCATTTCTTTTTTTGTTGACCCCAGTGTTTTGTAATGACACTGATATCAGAAGCAGTGAACCCATAGAAAGAAGACCGTCTTTCAAAAAACAAATGAAATCAGCATGGCAAAGCTGTAAAAAATATATATATATATATTAGGAAACACAATAAATTAATGAAAGATGTCTTGAGGTCTTAGATTGACGTTTTTTTCGTATTTGTTGCATGTAAACTGTCTCCACACTGGCTGGTAGGCTTAGCACTCATTTACTCCTAGGGAGTGACTTACTGGAAAAGAGGAATTAATGGTAGAAAGTATTACTTCCACTTTTACAATGTTCTTCCTGTTGGTTTTTGAATAAGAGTAAACAATTGCAGAATCATCACCAGGAAAGCAGATTCTAGGCCAGTAATATCACAAAGCCATCTGAATTTGGAGCCTTAACCTCAGTCTCTTTTCAATTATATCCACACAGTGTTGAACAAGAAATTGAAACCAGACTTCCAGAGACACTGAACTAACAGATTGTGTGCCAAGTTTCCCACCCTTTTGGGTGGAAAAGGAAGAAAGAGAGATCTGATAGAGATCTGAGATGAGAAAGAAGAAGAAAAGAAGGAAATGATGGAGGAGAACAGATGATTATGGAGAACCACTGCCCTCCTTCCGCTTCACCTCACAGTGTAAGTTGAGACTAAGACGGAGAAGGCAGCAGAGACAGCCAGGGCCAGCGTTTGGGGAGGATGATGAGATTGCTGTGTGTGAACACAGCGGGAGCAGATTCCTCAGCAGGATCCAGGTAAAACAGGCCAGTCCTGCAGGAACATGGTACTGTGAGTCTGCCTCAGAGGAAGATGCTGAAGGAAGAGCATCCACTCATTACTCCTGGGCTGAGGTTTCTTTTTTCTTCCTTACTCTCCTAGGTTCATAAGAAGAGTTGGACTCAGGACCTGAACATGTAGAATTCTTTTCTACCATATAATGAGAGCTTGGGTTCTATCCTTAGGACTGAAAAATAAAAGATCAGACACTCAATAGCTGATTGCTTTACCTCAGCCTTTAAAATTTCATAAATTTAAGGTGGCGTGTGTGTATGTGTGTGTGTGTGTGTGTGTGTGTGGCGCACGTGTGTTATATGAGTCTGGGTATACTTGCACCACAGTGATTATATGAAGGCCAGAGGGTACATGTGAGGAGATCAGAGGACAAACTCAGGTTGTCAGCCTTCACTGTCCACCATTTTTTGAGACAGGATCTCTGCTGTTCTCTTCTGTGGTTGTCAGGCTGACTGGCCCAAGGGGGCCACCTCTGCCCCCATCTGTCCTTAGCAGTACTAGGATTATAGACATGAGCTTCCACATCCAGCTTAGCACGGGTCCTGAGAGTTGAACTCAGCTTCTCTCCCTTAAGATCATTTATTATTTAAACAGTGTTCTGCCTGCATGTGTGCCTGCAGGTCAGCAAAGGGCACCAGATCTCATTATAGATGTTTATGAGCCACCATGTGGTTGTTGGGAATTGAACTCAGGACCTTCGGAAGAACATCAAGTGCTCTTAACCTCTGAGCCCAACAACTCAGGTTCTCATACTTGCAATGGCAATTGCTTTTACCCACCGAGCCATCTTCCCAACTTCAATATCTTTTAAAATCAGGAATCATCATTTCATTGCAACTTAGGACCATCCCTGGTAAAGAGTTCAACTTTTATTGGACAAGTAGATGAATGACAAAATAATGAACGCTCTTCCCATCAAATGCAGAGCACATTTACTTCAGCAAACCCATATCAAGACACAGTACCATTCTGGAAAACAACTGTTTCACTGCTAGTGAACTGAGTACAGCAGCATGAGTGCTATTGCAGTTGGCACGCTAGGCTTGCATTTTGTAATCAGGAGTCTTGGGCTGGTGAGCTAGCTCAGTGTGCAAAGGCATCTGTGGCCAAGCCTGACATCCAGAGTTCAATACTTGGAAGGTGAGAACCGACTCCTATAAACTGTCTTCTGACCTTCATATGCATGTGTGCACCCACACGCACATCCACACATGCACACTATATGTATACGAGTATGTGTGTATATATATGTATATGTATGTGTATGTGTATATGTATATGTATATGTATATGTATATGTATATGTATATGTGATTCTAAAGTTTTAAAAATACTCATGAGTCTTCAATAACAGCCTAGGTGCAGCTCAGAGAGAAGATACTGGGATAACTGAATAAAGTTCTTGACAAGAAAGGCTGTCAAGTGAACCAGTTGATAATTAAGACAATGAAAACGTAAGCCTCATTTCCTCACCATTTATTCAAATGTGGGGCTGGAGAGATGGCTTAGTGGTTAAGAACACTGGCCGCTCTTCCAGAGGACACAGGTTTGATTCTGAGCACCCATTTGGCAGCTCAAAACTGTCAGTAATTCCAGTCCCAGGGGATCTGATACACTACCTACCCTTCCATCCCTGCAGGCGCCAGGATCCACGTGGCCACAGGCATACACATATGCAAAGCACCCATATGAAGCCAAGCTAGTTGCTGTTGCCTTATAGAGGTGTACTCAGCTGATTGCCTATGCGTGAAGACAGAGCCCCTCACCCTGTGTCTAAGCAGCCAGCAAGCATCTGTTTGTAGCCCATGGAGCAGCACTTGAAGATCTTGGGTGACTGGGATGAATGGCACATGGCAAGCTTTGAAGGCCCTGTCACAAATGCTCTCACAAAACTAGACTGATTTTAATTTCAATTTATACTTTATTAGCAGACAGTAAAAACTCTCAATATCCCATTTTCATTTCTTTGCTAAAAATTTGGCTTCTTTTATAGTTGGGCGTTCTCATGTTTACATTTAAGAAAGAACACCTTAATTATACATGAAGCAGTTTTAAAATTTAAATATCCTTGTATTTCCCACAATCCCTTGCACAGAATTATCTTTATTCTTTGTAGGGGTTTAGTTAACTTTTACTGATATGCATTTCAGAGGACAGGAGAATAATTTTTGATCTTTGCATCTCGTGAAACCCATGAACTGGAAAAATAAATGTTAGATCATAAATTGCTCGAAACTCTATATAAAAACTTTTACATGTAGGTTTTCATCTGCTAAATATACTTGTACTCGTGTTTCCAATTAGTTACCATTGGTAATATAACTCAAGACAGTAAATAATTGAATGTCCAGAAAAGAGACTGGCTAAGTAAATTGTGCTCAGGTCTATATGGAGGTAGAATATTCTGTAGACAATAAAGAGAATAAAGTGGTTTTGAAGTTTGAGAAGGAGGATTTTTAAGTTATGTCCTGGTGAACCTTTATTGCCAATGTGATATGGCCTGGAAGCATCTAAGAGGAAAAGCCTTAATTGAGAAACTGCCTGTGTGCATGTCTGCAGGGATTGGTTATTAATTGATGTAGAGGGTCCAGCCCAGTGTATTAGCACTATTCCCTGATCAGGTGGTCCCGGCTCTATCAGAAAGCTCGATAATGGGACTGGAGAGATAGTTCACCATTACGAGCACATACTGCTCTGGCAGAGGATGTGAGTTTCGTTCTTAGTGTCAACATCAGGCAGCTCACTAGTGCCTGCCACTCCAGTTCCAGGAGGTTCTGATGCCTCTGGCCTTCTAGAGCGGTTGCCCTCATGTGCTTGTGCAAATGAGGGCAAAAAAAAAAAAAAAAAAAAAAAAAAATCTTTTAGAAAAACTTTTGAGCTGGGCAGTGCTCATGCCTTTAATCCCAGCACTCAGGAGACAGAGGCAGGTTGATCTCTGTGAATTCAAGGCCAACCACCTGGTCTACAGAGCAAGTTCCAAGACAAAAAAAAATAATAATAATGAGAAGAAAGCTAGCAAAGCATGAGCCAGAAAGTGAGTGAGCAAGCAGTATTCCTCTATAACTTTGTTTTGTTTATTAAGACAGGGTTTCTCTGTGTATCCTTGGCTGTCCTGGACTCTTTGTGGACCAGGCTGGCCTTGAACTCACAGAGATCCTCCTGTCTTTTCCTCCCAAGTGCTGGGATTAAAAGTGTGTGCCACCACATGCAGCTCCTCTATGGCTTCTGCTTCGAGCTCCTGCCTGCGTTCCTTCCTTGACTTCCCTTAGTGATGGACTGTGACCTGGAAGTGTAAGCCAAGGAAACCTTTCCTACCCAAGTTGTTTTTGATTAGAGTGTTTTATCACAGCAGCAGCAACAACAACAAAATTTCAGGACACCAGTAAGTGAAGAGATGTGAGATGACAAAATATCTGACCTTATAATTTTGCTGTGTGTGCTTGTTTTTGCACGGTCTAGGAGGAGGCCCAGAAGCCTGCTCCTGTCCCCAGGGATGCTTTGAATCAGATGCAAGACCTTTTACTGCTCATTCTGTGCCAACTTTTGATTGTTCTTAATTTTGTTTTGAGCTCTGGTGTTGCTGTGTAGCCATTATAGTCCTGATACTCACTATGTAACCCAGGTGGATCTTAAATGCACAGTAATCCCCCTGCAATGGCCTTCTGAGTACTGGCATTACAGACATATGCCTCCATGCCTAGTTTACTTTTTAATTTCCAGACCATGTACAAATTATTAAGAATTTGAAGAACAAATAAAAAATTGAATAGCATGTTGGAAAGATTAATGTGCTATGTGTCATAGGGGAAAATTAGTTTGGCTAATTCTTGTATGTTTTTTCTTAAATCATGACTGTGTTCTTGTTTAGATGTCCTTGTCAAGGAGCTTTTCTAAATTGTCTTGCTTCTGTCTATCTATCTATCTATCTATCTATCTATCTATCTATCTATCTATCT